ATTTCTACGGCCAACCGCCAGGATCGTGACAGGCAACAGCATGACACTCCGGCTTCTGTGACGTCATTTGTTGCCACTTTGGGACCACTTTTGATGTATGGCTGGGATAGGACGCTAAACACACCAGTCGAACACTCCAGGCACCATACCGGTATCGACTGCGGACCACTCACGGGCCATAGTTCCCTTGAACCGCCGTATTTGCACTTTTGAAGCGCACGCTTGGAACGTGCAGGTACGACAGGAGCGTGACTTGCTTTCCAGTCTGGCCTAGAGATATCAAAGAAACTATACATGGCTTGCATTGACGCTACATCAGTCGCCATTCCTCCGTACCATGCTCCTGTACCCGAACATTCTGCAGCTTATATTTCGCACCATCGAATTTGTTCTTCTCTACTAGACTTGCCGAGAATAACAGCTTCGATTGTGCGAAATGTATGCTGCAGAAGGTACAGGCACATGTGCGTGGTACGCAGCAATGGCGGCTGGTACGCTGCTACGATGCCGTATGACAGGGGTGGCCAAGCTGCGGCTCGCGAGCCGCATGCGGCTCTTCGCGTGTTGAAGTGCGGCTCGCGGCTCCCTCCCCCCCTCCCCCGCCTCCTTCCCGGTCACACAAGCACTTCCCCAAAAAGAGAAATGGAACGCGTTTTAAATCGAAAGACGGGTTGCGGTTTTGTAGTCTTGTCCTACCTTACGTACAGTTGGACTGCTTTTGACTTGGATAGGTTGAAAGTAGTTCGAGTTTCGTTTGTTGCTCTGGACAAAAGGGTGCACCCCCCCCCCCCCCCCCCGCGGCTTTTGAAAGTTTCGTGCTTTTGTTTGCGGCTCTTAGGCCGGGTCAGCCTGGCCACCCCTGCCATATGACGTCACGCGCAAGGCATGTATACGCTTGGAGTATCGACAGAGCTCATTTATCAATTGTCTCGTGGACGCCGCTATTGTGTTGCCATGCAGTGCAAAGCGGGTGCAATTAATGATAGAAGATTAGAAAATCCGACTTCCTGATTTGGATACGGTGTATACCAGGAATAATAACAACAATACTACTAATAATAATAATAATAATTTCCTTTGTTTTTTAGCAAACACCAAAGAAAAAAGGCTGTTTACAAACAGCTTGACTGGTCCCAAGCCCCACAGAAATACAGCAGCAGTGGAGCATGTTTTAAAATGTGGCCCTAATGTATTTAACAGTTAAGCAAAAAAAAAGTGTTTTCTTACATTAGACAAGTTACGGTATACACACATCAGGCTATATCGTTTTCTCTGTCGCGGACTCTATACGAACTTTTCTGGCGAACGAAAACGCGTTTCCTGCGATTTTAGATATCGTTTTAACGATTTTGGGAGACAAGATGACTGTCGCTATACTCTGAGCGTATACCTATACCTGTAGGGGCTATAATGTAGCCTTCAAATAATTACACTTCAAAAGCCGTGGTAGAAAAGAAAAAGAAAAGAAAAAAGGTCCGGCTCTTTGCGGAGCGTGACTAATTTCCCGCTTTATGTAGTGAATTAATATGTACGCATCTAAGATAGATTGTTGGTAGATTCGTCAAAATTTGTGCGTTCTAATGCGAAAGCATTACCTGCCCCATGGAGTGAGCCGACGTCATCGGCCGCGCAAACGGCAGCTAAATTCCCTTATTCCAAAGGAGCCAAGTGAAGCCGCGATCTGAAGCATCCCAGCTTTGAAGCCAGGCAAAAAGTCACGCAAAACGTCAGCTAAATTCACCTCTCCAAAAGGAGCGAAGGAGTGAATACCTGATGGATTATGCTCCCATTCGCTGGTGTGCGTCATCAAGGAGCGAGGCCGCCATTGGCTCTCGTGCGGCGTGTTTCCAAAAACCGCCACCCGAGAAGCCCTTTCCCGGCGAAGTGCGGCGGTGCGGGCCTGGCCGCTTGGCGGCTTGGCCACAGAGTCCAGAGCGGCTCATGAGAGCCCGCGCTCGACCGTCGGCCGCTACATCGGCAGTGCAGCTTGGACTCGAGCATTGCGTCAGCGTTTGGTTGCAGGACTCGCTCTCCATTACTGTATCGACGTACACGCTCGGTGTCGTCGGGTTCGGGACCAATCGCTGAGATGCCGCCGTCGTATGGACCTTTTCACCCTCCGCCGCATGGGCGCTGCCATCTTGGAATCACGTGATGCGGCCGCCATTAGGTTGCTTCAACTTTTTGCTCCGCTCTCCCGTCCGCGCCTTGGCGGATGCGTTGAATGCGTGTTTTTCGTCGCGTTTCACCGCGTCTCTTGCCTTACTCCGTAAAGTGTCGTCCGATACTTATACCTACCATGCAATTGCATTACACCATTTTGCGGCCAACTTCTGTAGTTAATTTTGTAACACGTACGTTTTGAATATTTTTTACCGTCGGCGTGCAGGATACGTGTGAAAAGGCTTTATAGGAACAGGAATCAGCGTTAGCACTTGCGCACAGTGAATACATATATGACTCGAAGAAAGCCTCGAGGGTTCAAATACCAATAACTTATGCGAACTGAGGTTTGGTTACTAATAAGGGCGGAACATTTGGAATAGGAAGCCCAATGTTATTATATATATGAGTGCGCATTGGTGGCAAGGAAGGAAACAAAAACATTCAGCGTAATTACCCACGTGTTTTTCCTGAAAACATGTTGTTTTGTAGTTTCAAAAGATCGAAAACAGTTTCTTTTGATCACACTAGGGAACTTGTGGACAAGACGCGGGAACAAACGTTTATTTTGAATTATTTTTATGCTAGAAATAATGGTACCTTAACATTAGGCAACTTGTTTGTTCGCAATATCACACCTATGTCGGTTTTACGTTCTTAATTGCGTGTGAGATATAAGCATTCGCTTTATCGGTTTATTTATGAATTCCACGGAATTGTATATCGTGCTTGGTCTCAGGTTCATAGTCTTTCAGTTGCTTAAGTCATTTTTAATATAATCATGCAGTTTCAATTAATTTATTTCAACACAAATATTTTGACTCCCCGCGTTAGAAACTGTCACAGACAGCTTGATAGTGCCTATGATTGACGAAATGTGACGCCGAAAAGAATACTTCTGCATGAAAATCCCCCGAGTGCAGCCGGTTGTTGACGGCGAATAGGGAGTTACTTTCAGTAGCTGGCGACGTCAAAATGTGCAAAGCGTATCGTTTCAAATCAGTGAACAGCTTTCTACACAGGTCCATTCGGTGGCGCCTGGCGTTCGACTTCAGCCAAACTTATCGGAGATCATTTCCTTTGCGCTCTTCAATTTCATTTGGCAAATTTTACGGGAAATGAATATCAGACCTTAGTTGAAGTCTGGCATTCATTTATCTCGCCATTCTCATACCTTGAGAACGTCGTCAGCAAATGTCAATATAACAAAAAGCTTATTTCATAAGGCCAATATTTTGAAAATGTGTTAATGGGTACCTTAGTTAAAGAAATTTTCTAGTCAGCCTAGGCTGAACTATCAAAATATTTCTCAAGCGCATAATTTCTTTAAATAAAACAGGCCGAGACAATATCACTTTTTTATGTGATCTACGCGATTATATGAAACTTTTCTAGTCATTATAAAAGACGTTTCCAGTCTCGAAGTTAGAAAAGGTTGGTGTACGAATACCAAACATCGAACAGTAAACTTGTCATTTCATCTGTTCTTGGTGATACAGCAGACTGTTAATTATGTTATCGACCTGCTTTTTCACTAAGCACTCATGCAATATAGTCTGTTGCAATATAGGACGATCAGTTCAATATCTGACTTGAGCGCGAGCTATCTACCTTTTGTACCGCTCGGTGCTCGCACAGCCAAAGCACGGCGGCAGGCAACGAACGCACGCTGCAAGCTTGTCCTGCTCTTTATTTTTTTTTTTTTCTCTTCTGGCAGCTAGTGTCCGTGGGTACGGCCGTGGACGATGGTACTCCTCCCTGTGCATCAGCGCAGTTGTTTCACCGCCAAACCTGGCCGAAATTAACGATGGACGGAATCAGACGCACATCGTGTTCGTAAAAAAAGATCGCAATTTAGGCTCGAAACCATTTTGTGGTTTGCCAAGTGGCTCAATACTATTGTTTCATTCGCTGTGTGCTACAAGAAAGAAATTTATATCGCAAAATAATCGAAAGCGGCATGAAACAGCATTACAATCGCGTGCACGTTGAAACCGAAACCGACCAAATTGAAGCAACTTAATGGCGGCGAGTGCGCCAGCGCCCTCTACCCACCGGTCAGGCAACTACTGAAATGAAAAGGTCTTATACGACGTACTCGAGGAATGACGAAGAGCATGTGGCCAGGCTTTTGGTTAGGATTCGTTGCGCCACAAGTTGGAGCGCTGATATTTTGTCCAAACACAGAGACACGCACGAACCGTAAAAAGGACAAGGTAACGCGATGCTTTTGTTATGATTGATTGGGTTACGAAAATATAGCACAGGCAGAGAAAGACGACAAACAGCATGAAGTTGCGTTCATATCACTGCCTGATTGGTGCCACCGACTCGCAACGTAGCTTCACACTCTCACATATGGTGAAACGAAGTAACTACACATAGGGGGGATTAGTCTACATACAGGTGGTTTTGATCAGGCCGGTTGCAGTAGCGAGCATTCATCACAGTACGAATTTATATGGGGGGGGGGGGGGGGGGGGGCGTTTAAATATCGCGCGCTAGTATAGAGGCGATCAACTGGGAGGACGTCTCCTAGATGGCACGACTAACCTCCTCCCAACCCCTGCTTTGTCAAGAGATGGATAGATGGCGCAAGCTGCTGTACAATTTTTAAAGGTTGAGTTATGCTCGTGTATCTATCCGTTTTATTTAACTAGTCTATTCGTTATAAAACGCTAATGTTTTATAAATAATATAAATTTTTAATTGAAATTGTTTAATTACACGTTGTTACAAACTGTTTGTAAACATTTTTTAATCTTTTTTTTTATTTAGTTGTTAGTTATTTTGACTTGCTAGTGGCGCCAGCTGTTACGTGTTCGCCAAAAGAGGAAGTGGTTGATTTACGCAATGGCGGCCCCCTCGAACCAAGTATGTTATTGTTTGTTGATGGCCTATTCTCTCCGATTCGACGTTTTTCTAGCCGTTTTTATCTCCTAGATTTGTTCATGAATTGATCGCGAACAACCAGAGTATCTTTACGCATGGGCGTTCCTCTTCCAAAGCTACCCTTACGCTTAGAATTCCGGGGGCTATTGTAAGCCTTCAAAACGAAAACACACAAGAAAACAACTTGCCAATCTCGGCTTTGTTGCTAGTGGCCGGAATGCTACGTTTGTTTATTTTTGCCCTTGCTGGTTTGTCAAAGGTAGATTATGCTCCTCGGTGGCTCTCTTACCTCAGCCTGAGTTAATTGCGTTTTTCTGCGTTGTGCAACCGCGGTGACCTAGGTTGAATTGAACCTATTGTTCTTCGCAGATGTTTTGCCGATACACCTATTGTAGAGCGAGCAGCGTAGTTAAATCGGTGCCACAGCGTCGATTTTTGTGGAGAACTTCGAAGCAAAATTGGGTCAGTCGGCGACATCGTCCATGTCCCGCAATTTCGAAAGTTTCTGTTTCATCCCCGTTCTTCAATGGCGACAATACTCTCTGTTTACACCTGGCATCTGTTTGTCACCGCGGCGTTGCCGAAGCTCGCCAACGGACGTTGGTAAGTTCGCGGTCGGAGTTTGCGTTGCGTGACCGCTCTCTTGTCTGTTGGCTGGGGCTAGTTATGTCTTGGGCGTGTTTCAATTTGGTAGCTCTGCCTTATCGATACTGGGATCTCATCACCTGTGCCCTTATATTGCACCAAGGTGGATCGAATTTCGGTTGGGAGGGCCCCTTTGCCCCTTTTGATCGCTTCGTGGGGGCGATCTTTTGGGACCTTGGGGGACTATGTGCCGTGGACGACGCAAGTAAGTGCAGTTTATCTAATCGACCTCTCGAAAGGGTTTTTAGGATTTTTATTTTGTTTTTTTGTTTTTTGTTCTGATATCGTAGCGAGCTGTAACCTTGAACTTTCCGTTTATATTTATCGGTCAGCGCGGGCACCTAATCTTTCGGCTCCAATGTGAATGAATCTTCGTTTAATCGGAGATCGTCTAGACATCATTTTTGTTTGTATTATGTTTTTGAAGTTGGACGGCGGTATGAATTTTTATGTCGCTGTTCCCTTCTACTCCGTTGTCATTTAGCTTGGTTTTGCATTACCGATTTTCTGGCGGGTCCGGCGTATACCTAATATTTGTTTTATTTTTATTTATTTTTTAATTTTTTGTGTGTAGCACTTTTGTTCCTCTTTTTTTTTTTTTAATTTTGCGTCAGAGTTTGGCTTTTGTTTTTCTTTATTTCAGATCTTTCACGAACAAAAGAAGTAGTGTTTGAGGTAAAATTTTAAAAACCTTGTATGACTCTTAATAATTGGTGTGCATTCCAGGATCACCAAAGATGCGAAGTTCGAACTTCCAAGAGCTCATGCCAAAGATATCGGGAACAAATGAACATCAACGGCAGGACAAGCCTTCCTAGGCCTCGCAGATTTTGAAAAGTGCTCCACATGTCACATAGCCATATCTTTCTATGTGTACTTATGCAATGTACTTTAGGAAAAATATACAGCATATTTCTCCCTAAGCCTTCAAATGGCTTCGCTCATTAGATTGTCTTCTATACATAGAAAAAGTCAGGCGGGTAGCCAGGATTTTGTTTCGGGGGGGGGGGGGGGGGGGGGGGGGGGGCCGGGCCGGGGCCGCCGCCCATGACAAAATGCTTTATGAGGAGGAGGGGGAGAGGAGGCCCCAGCAAAATAGAATATTTCAGGGGGGGCCCAGGCCCCATGGGCCACCCCCCTGGCTACATGCCTGGAAAAAGTGCCTTTCTGTATTGACATTGTGTATATGTGGTGTAAACTTGTTTTATTTATCAGTGATTGCCATTAATTAGGACACTGATTACAAATGGTCTTTCATATTTGTCCATGAATAATTTTGCTAAGCAAACACTTATGCTGTCAGTGCACTTTTTTGTCTAGATCTCAGTGCATTGTGCATGAATTGTCTTTGAAACGAAGTGCCGTGTCTGCCAATGCAATTTCAAATGTTGATGCTACCATATTTGATCTGTGTTTTATTATTCATGTTTCAATATCAGTGCCAATTGAAATGGTCATACTTTGGTTTCGATTGATAGTAGCCATTCTTATCAACACAGCACTCGTGGTTGCAACTTGGAGTATAGGGTCCTTGTATTTGTTGTCACTTCTGGCTCAAATTCTGCATTATCAATGTTGGTGATTTTTAGCCATGTCTTTCTGCGAGTAGAGGGAGTGTTTTACGAATCACTCGAGTTCTTTTGCGTTCTTATATACTGCGCCAGCCAGAGTAGTCGAAAATATAAAAGAGCATCGACTGGTACTCTATTTGTCCCGTCTTTATTCAAGCTTAGGACGAGCTGGCGCTTCAAAAGTTGGATAGTCGGTGTCCAAAAGGGCCGTGGGGAACACCACTGGAGCAGGAACATGCTGCTGGGTAGTGCGTTTAAAAACTACATAAACTGATGTCAGTACAAAGACCCTATACCAAAATTTCATCATTGTTATACAAGTTTTCGAGTTGTTTCTGCTTGTGTATTCTTTTTTGTTTTTGGTTTGATCACAGTGAGTTGTACAAATACTAGCAGTTTGGTTATTTGTGCCATCTAAATGGTAATTTTCTGAGGTATGTTTCAACAGTTAGTCCCTGTACAAGGTGTTTTTAACTGTTATTCAGTTATGGTTCATGAAGCATTGACTTTACATTTCTGGCACGGTGTTGAGTACCTTACTTTTTAAACTCCTTGTGTCTCATGTAGCATGTGAATTCACTGTTGGTCACAGCCGCTGAAGCTGTTGTCTTTTATGCTGTGTTTGTTTCCTTTTTTTTTTTTAGCCTGGGTAATCTGCCAAGGAATTTTCTTATTTCCAATTTTGCATTGATTGACTGTTGATGGGGCATGATTATACAAAATTTGCCATGTTGCAATGATTCTCTTAATCTAACCGTTACACCAATCCTCTTTCCAGCGGCATCGTATTATTTAATGGTGCCTACATTGGTCCCTTTAATATGTCTGAGGAATGTCACATTTTCTGGCATATTTGAAGCTCTCTGTACCTAAAATGCAGTTGTGTACCTACTATTATACCTAATTATGCAGAATACAATTGCTTTAGTCTCCTTTATGCCCGATTGGAAAATAGCTTTACTGTGCTGTTTGTTTCTCAAGGGGAGAGGGAAGAAGTCCCTTCTGTACACTTCACCCTACCTGCACGCAGCTGTTGAGGAAGGCTTTTAACTTGAAAATACTGGGCTTTCGGTCCATGACTTTTAAAACTAGTTATATTTGAAATGTATTTAAAATAAAGCTTCCGGTACTGTTATTTTCTTGTAAGCAGATTCTAACTGGGGTTTCACGTTTCACTAAGTAATTAACCTACAGATTTACATGCTGACATGCCAGGGAGCAGTAAGCGTGCCATATACTTGACCGGTCCCCAGTGTGAGCATACAGGCTTTCCCAATGTACTGGCTGTGCCTGGACTTGGCACACAGTCAAAACACTGGCAGCCAGCTTGCTCATGCGAGGGACGAACCAAACTTCTCATCTTACCGGTAATTACGCAAGTTCTGTGTTCTGCAAGTAATTTAATAGTTTGATCAATTGCCGTCTTTGCAACGAACAACTGTTGCTCGTAAACCTAAATTTCGGTTTGAGGTCTAAGTGTCTCTTGGGGGGGAATGTTCTCTGCACGGGGCCTGCAGACTCGCCGGAGTATGCTGGGTTCGGTGAAGCCAGAGAATGCGTCAACTGTGGCGCCATCTCCACGCCCTTGTGGCGCAGGGATGGCACCGGCCACTACCTGTGCAACGCGTGTGGGCTCTACCACAAGATGAATGGCTCCACCAGACCCATCGTGAAACCACAACGGAGAATGGTGAGCTGCAGCACGCTCCTTGCTTGGGTCGGGTCGGTGCACTGATTTTGTTTCTTGACTTCCTCATCCAGTTTTAACTTTCTATAGTTGGTGACAGGTCAAGAATTCGGTGCGTGCTTCACCCACAGGCGTAATGCTCCCGCCCCACCTTTTGAGAAAATGGCGTGTCGTCTGCTGCATAACGTGGCAAGATTGTCAGTATTGGTTTCAGGCGCGAGCAGAAGGGGCGAAGCTCGCCACAGATCGAGTGGGACGGCATTGTAGTGAAACTATGCACTTTATGAAGAAGAAGATTGGAAGAATTTCCAAACTTCTTCTTCTTCTTGTTTCGTCGAGGGTGATGGCAGGGCACACTTGTAGCTTTAACCCTCGACTCCTTCATGCAAGATAGAGGTAGGACTAGACAATTGATAGTGCTTACCCACTTATCAAACAACTGATTGCAACGACGAGACTTGGCAATAGTGCCACGTTTGACGGGTGGATGATACTACTTCGAAAGCATCACTTCGAGGCATCCTCTATTTCTTAAAGCCCAGCAAAGAAGGAGATACAGTCCAGTAAGGCAGCATAGCGGTGGTGTCACTCAACCATCTCGTGCCACAGCATTTTAATGTCGCCTCATGGAAGCCGCTGCAAAGAAACAGTTTTGGAACTCGACTCAGGGGGTGACCTCCAAAGCCACAAAGAAGCTATCGGCGCCAAAAAGGCATGTCGAGAGTCGAGACTAGTCTCGACGATAGCTGAGCCTATTCATTCAACCAAGCGGGTAGATTGAATGCATCGACAACAACACCACAGTTAGATTTTCACCTCATTCTACAGAAACTACTTTGGGCAAAAGTAGGTACCAGCGCGACTTTCTGACGTAAACGCGGGTAGCTAAAATACAAGAAAATCACCGCGAGAACCCAGTGTCCCTCGATATCGCCAACGGTGCACACTGCTTTACCAAAAAAGGAAATTTGTCCGTTAAGCCATGACATTAGTGATGACAAGGAGATAAGCGCTAGCGATTGGTGGGCGAGGGGTTGCCAATCTCTTTGAGGTGTATCTGTGGCTGAATTCGTAACCTGTCACCAACTACAGGTAATCCTAACCCTCTCAGACGAATTTTGACGAGATGTTATCTCGTCAAAACGGACATGTTGAGGCACCAAAAAACTGTGTACCTTTTTATCAGCTAAGGGGGGCTTTTTGAATAGTTGCATCTGGCACCATTTCTTGGGAGGACAGAGAAGTCTGTCTTACGGGCGCTTTCTCAGCACCTGACCTTTACAGAGAAATTGTGGTGTAGTTCTAAGGGTCCTTAGCAAGTTAGACCAATATTTCACAAACAACCTGTTCATGTAGACATTTGTTTGTATTCCTCGACAAAGTTGGGACTTGTTGGCTTGCCTTCAAAAAATTCCCAAGCTACAATTTTGACATCAGTCTCATAATGTTTGCTATAATAGACTGTCATTACTATTACTACCAATAACCTTTTGATATTTGAAACCTTATCATTCGTGTAAGGGAGGGCAAGCTTATTTGTTTCAATGTTCAAAGAGTCATTTTACAACCACAAAGCAGAGCAGAATACATAAGATGGCAATTAAATTGTTTGCTCTTTTTATACTTCTTCAGGCTTGTCACTTCCTTACAATGCATACTTTTTTTTTATATATGGTGCTTTGCAACAATCATTCTTTTACTGTTCTGTTTGCATTCTTTCCTAACCTTTGTAACTATGTTGCTCAATACCATTTGTATGACCCCAGCTGCATGTTAAGAAAAGTAGTCAGTGGGTAAACACCATTGACAATTTAATGTCAGGCTGTGACTGAAAACGATAGCTTCTTTCCTGCAGTGCCTTTAAATGTCTGGGTCATTAAAGGAACACTGAAGTGAAATTAAAGTGTGCCATTGACAGTGGTAGCTTCCTAAAGCTGCTTTTACAGTTATGCATTTGAGACAGCTTCCACAGCATGAGAAATCATTGAAACGGATCCAGTAAGTGCTGTGCCCTTGACTATCAGTCATGGCGACTCAGTCGAAATAGTAAGGCGAAGAAAAGGATTGCTCAGGTTGAATTCCGACGAAGGCAAGGCATGAATCTGCTGCTTTGGGAAGTGCTCCACTCTCACTTGCAGCCACGGTGGAAGCCCACACCGGCAAACACTCTCAGCGACCAGAGAATGTTCCACTGCAGCGACTGCTGTAGTGGAACATCACAGTCCAGTGGTTGTTGTAAAATCATTTAACGAGTGAGGAGGGAGAGAATTATCTAAAAACCTTGTTCCCCTTGGCATTTTCATATCTGATAGCTTCTTTTTGACAAACAACGCCTGTCTAAACTTTTTTTAATGAATTCCCTAGTTAAATATTTTTTTTTTTTTTACAATAATGTGCAATTCATTTATTACAGTAATAAAAGATCTTGAAAATTCATTCGTTATAACCGATTATCGTAGATAGATAGATACGTAGGTAATTCGGTTTTAATGGCACTAGAGCAACTGAGGCTGAAATGTGCCAAATACAGGGTGTAATTCGAAGAAAAAGACCTAGAGAAGGCGGATTCTAAAAAAAACACAGAAATGGACATTGAAATATTTTTTATGGCTTGGGTCTGCGAGGACACCGCTCCGACCAAAGCCTTTGGGAAAAAACAAGTAAAAATAATGCCCCAACCGATTATCGTATCTGGACTAGAAACTGGTCATTTCCAGCTTAGAAACTCTAGAAACTGATTGTTATAAGCAGTGCATCGTTATATGTGGTATTATAAGTGTATTGAACTGTAGTGGAACACAATAATTACCAAAAGATTGAAATTGTCTTCAGTGTTGCTTTAATTGAGATAGCGAAGAAATGAAAGTTGTAGGACAATCTTATTCACACCTAGAAACACCTTATTTACCTAACACCCCATTTTCCCAGATCTAGTATGACGTCATTGTGAACAAACTCTGCTTACTTTTTCTCCTGCAGAGCATGCAGAAGCGAATCTTTGCCATTTATGGAAAAATGGCTGCGAGTGATGGAACCACAAATCCCATTCGGACCTAAATATGGTCCAAATGGTCTGTGGGGGTCCATTTGAACCTCCACAGTATGCTATGCATGACAGAATCCCTGTACATAGCCCATATTCTAACATCCTTATGGATGCCATTGCACTTGCTGCCCTCCTGCCATAAATGGCAATGTCTTTTTGTTTTTTCCTGCGTTTGATGAGAAATAAGGCTTTCTTAGATACGGGAAGGCATGGTAACCAGAAACCCGTAACTATTGAGTTTCCCCCCAGTTTTGTTGTAAGTCTTCCTTATAACAAGCAGCTCATCTGTTATTGCCGTGCTTATGGACACGCAGCTGTTAATGAGACTGTCGATGCGGTATGTATTGTCTAACAGTGCAGTGTTCCAATGTGCAGGTTGTCCCAGCTGACCTTATGTCATCGTGCTTTTCCCAGCAACAACCGAGCGTTTCCCGTCGAGTCGGGTTGTGCTGTTCGAACTGCGGCACCACCACCACCACGCTGTGGCGGAGGAACAATGAGGGTGAACCCGTCTGCAACGCCTGCGGGCTCTACTTCAAACTGCATAATGTGAGTCCATCCTCTGCTGCGTACAAACTCTATAGCCTCGAGGAAGAACTGTGGCTGACGTTTCCCTAAGGGACTTCTTTTGGGCTAAGTTCCTTCGCAAAACGTCGACCGTGACTTTGAGGCTTCCGGGAGGTTCCGTTTTAAGTTGTTACACCCAGTTTCGAGAGTCATTAACTGTTCACAGACTGCTTTAGTCAGAAGCAATGACTAGAAGGCAAATGGGTCGATAGAGATTGTGACAGCATGCTACGAGGGGGAAATATAATCGAATAACGGAAGGTGGAGGTAAGAGTTAAGACTTTCACACCTCATGGAGAAACAGTTGCAGTTCTGACGTCAGATTGGTTGGAAATCCTCATTCGCAACGACACTTGACTATAGCAGGGGGGGGGAACCATTTCAGTTTTAAAAAGGCAGACGTAATGGAGGTGGAAATGTGGGGGGGACCCCGTTGCTGCCTAGCATTTTGTGCTTAGCTCTTGATACAAAGTTTTCCTGCTACTACGTGGAGGATGAGCGACTTGCGCGCAGGGCAGAGGTCCGCACAAATACGGCCAGCTTGTGAGCCATGGGCCGGGATCGGGCTTCACTGTTCCAATCACAAGGGGCCTAGGCCAGGCTGAGCCTAGCCAGGCCTAGGTCTTGTATTGAAACCTAGAATGTGGGCTGAAGAGAGCCAGACCCCGTAGAATAATCAAAGCCCGCAAACGTCGTCCCCTCCCTCCGTGAAACGTCACCGCAGTTGGATGGCAACAACTCGGCGATTGGACCCGGGCCCGATGCCATGCGTCCTTTGACGAGTTGATTGGACATGAGGCCCAGCCAAATGTGGATGCAGCGCTCGTGTTCAATCTGTGTCTTTGCTCCATCTCGCTCTGATGATGTCAAAATTCTAGTTTAAGTGCATGCTTTGATTGTTGTAGTGCCAACCAAACAAAACTGACACGTCCTTTTTTTCTTTTTTTTTTTATGGCGGAGTTGTTAAAGGTTAGTTTCTCCAGGATCGTGTCCGGTACCAAACAAATGTCGACACAACACTCTGGTTGCCGCCGTCACTTATAGACGGCGCTAGCTGTCCAGAGTTTTGTGTTTGCCACTTGTCTGCTTGCCGCCATCGCTCATAGATCACGGCAACTTTTCCAGCCTTGGCAACCAGACAACTGGTTGCTGCGGTCGCTCATTGATGGTGGCAACATTTCTTCGGAGGAAGAAGAGCGGGAACGGAACGAGCGGCGATGTGTGCAGCAGCACAAATGATTCCGCAACCGCCGCGAGGCCGCTATCGCCTTAAGTTCTACTGCATCGAGCGCTTCAGATTTCCTTGCAAAAGAAGAGCAGATCGCTCACCTGGAAAGCCACCGCCGAGAACAGAAGCTGTAGCTCCGCTGCTCTTCCTTCTTTACCAAAACAGAAAGGCTGAAAGTGTTTTTTTTTTTTTTGTGAGCACAAGTTGTGTGCAACTGTGTTTTAAGGGAACAGGAAGAGTGATGAGCAAAAAAAGAAAAAAGGATGGTTTGGGGTGCTTGTGTCGATGCTCTTCTACAGGGTGAAACAAGGAGACGCCAGGCTCTTTAAATCGACCGTAAAATTCGGTTTCTTAACCTATCGTGCTACAACTTTTTGCAGCATTGCCCACAGATGGTGCTTTTTTTTGGTAAAATTTGCAAAGAGCGAACTTACCTGAGGAAAAAGTAAAGAAAGAAAAAGGCTTAGCTCCTATGGAAACGCAGCGACGCCACCGGTCTTCAAAGAGCACGGTGCCGTTTCGCACGGGACACAAGAGATGGCGTAACGAACGCCGCCAACGAACGAGCAGACGGCGCCGAGAGCCAGCGTCTTCAGCAGACAATCTTTTCGACTCAAAAGCGGCGCGCGTTCCGCAGGCAACGGCAGTCGCAAAACAGGCACGGTAACAACAAGGAACTGCAGTTCCTTGTCTGCTAAATACACCGGCTCTCGGCGTCGTCTGCTCGTTCGTTGGCGGCAGTTGGCGTTGTGACCGCTTGCGCCATCTCTTGTCTCCCGTGCGAAACGGCGCCGTGTTGTTTGAAGACCGGTGGCGTTGCTGCGTTTCCATAGGAGCTAAGCCTTTTTCTTTCTTTACTTTTTCCTCAGGTAAGTTCGCTCCTTGCAAATTTTACAAAAAAATATGCACCATCTGTGGGCAACACTGCACAAAGTCGTAGCGCGATAGGTTAAGAAACCGAATTTTCCGGTCGATTTAAAGAGCCTGGCGTCTCCTTGTTTCACCCTGTACATCACCAGTGGCATGGTGGCAATTTTTGTTGCTGCAGCGCCACCACCACCACCGTAGAGGAAGCGCTTCTCCCCATTAAAGGGTCCGTGCAAGGACTTTTTTTTACTGGTTTTTAATTTGCACCGAACCTGAGTGCACCGAGCGTAGCAACTTAATGAAACTTTTCTCTTCTTGAATTTCGCTTTACTTTAAAAGTTATAGGCAAATTAAAATTACAAAAACAAGCAAAAAATAACCTCCTTCTTGACGTCCTTGGTTGCTTGAGTGGCTGTGAACTAGAAGAGGGGTAGTGAGCTCAGTGAGCGCTCACAGCTGCCGCACTCCGTGTCGACGGCTCGAGAAGGCACCACTAAAGCATGCTCTGGATCGGCTGTATGAAGCGGGCAGCCAAGGCGGCTCACATTGCATTTGCTGCGCGACTAAACATTAATTCGGCATGATATTTCATTGGCCACAAACGACAGCAAACACAGGGTAAAGATTAGTTCAGAACGGGAGCCACTTTGCGCTGCCATACCGCCAAACGGCCAAACCGCAAGCCAAACCTACTCGTCAAAGGCCTTCGGAACATTCGGGACCGGTCGGATCCTCGAGTCCGTATACGACCGCAGCGCCGCCGCATACATCCGGGATCTTTCTACCCTCGCCGCTCGTCGGTGCCTGATCCCACTACACCTTTCTAGTATGCTCCGCCTTTTCCACCGCTTGGTGGCGGGTATGTCGACAAGTCATTTCTTGTTTCCGTACGTTAAGTTGACGGAAGTGCTGCGCCAATTGCGCCAAATTGCGCCAAGGACGCAATCCTGCTACATATAGCGCCAAATTGTCATTTTACCGAAGAATTGCGCTATGCCTGCGCCGAGATGAGATTTAGCAATAAAAAATAAAAATTGAAGTCTTATCAGAGCGCGTGGCGGTACCGCGGTATTTTCCACGCCGCAACTGTTACGCAAACCAAAACTGCGAGGGCGCATTATCATCATCATCATCATCATTGAAAGGAACAACATTAGCAACATCTGAGACCAAAGCCGCAGAGGCTAAGCAAAGAACCATCCCACTGAGCAGCCTATTAAAAAAAAAAAAAGAGGCCGAGCATGTGGATGTTTTCAATGTTGGCCCGCCCTGTTCCCGTGCGCTAGCTACCAGCGAAGTCAAATCTAGCGCGAGCCCGATGCTCTGTGCATTCCTGACTCGCGCGTGGGCTCGTGCAGTGCGGTTACTGTTACGGGCTCCATGCGCGCGCTTGTAGCTTCGGCTGCGCTCGCACCGAAACTAAAAGAAAGTATAGTTTAGTTGCACCAAACTCTGGATGTAGTGCTGGTAAAGCCTCACCATCCTTTTCGGAGCACAAAGCACTGCGCGACTCGCGCGACAGCGGTGTCTGCTCCGCGGGTGTCACTTCTCTGCAGCGCGTTGGTGCATGCCAAGGAGTGCTGATATTTAGTTACTCTCTCCGTGCCCACTGGCTTGCCCGAACCCCAAGATACGAGGAAACCGCAAAAAAGGTAGACGCTTAAATATGATTGCAGGGCCCCTTTAAGCATGCGCACATACAGGATTATATCATGCTCACCTTTGCAGGCTTGCTCCATCTGTACCCGCAAGTGTGCGCATTGACAATGAGGATAAAAAGATGCCACTTGCCTCAAGGTTGTTCTCACAAGAGTGCTCTTTCGCCAAACATTTTTTTTTTTTTTTTTTTTACGAATCAGTGGTAATGTTTTGCTTCTTTTGCAGCTTCTGCACATGATTTTGTTTACTTTTGCTTGCACTTTTTAGTTTTTTATGGTGGATTTTGTCACCATATAGTCAAGAAGGGAGGCCACTTTTTTTTTGGTTCTTTTTAATTAGGAAGCGGTGTTGCATTATAGAGCCCAGTCATAGGAGGCTAGGCTTACAGCATCGTTTAACTAAGAACAGCAGCAGAAAAAAAAAGATGTGTGGAACACCTTGACCTAGTAACGTTTGGCAAACAGATGGCGAACATGAAACAAGATGTTTTGCATTTGTTCTGCATTTCCCTACCAGCATCTTTAGCTCAATTTGCTATACATTAACTAACCCACCTGTGCACAGGCTGGTACATGTATTGCTTACTTTCGGGTAGAAACACTAGTGTGGCATGCAAGGAAGCTGGGAGAAGAAAAGAAATCCCATTTGGAAGCCGATGTATCAACTGATATGCCAGTAGCGGAGCTGGTCGCTGCAAACTATAGGGGGAAAGGCTCGCAACATCCGTAGACATTAAGCTCTGCACAAGTATTTTTTGAAGTTTGTCTGTTGGTATTCTCATGTTCAAGAGCCTGAGACGGTTGCATTCTCGCTACAGCAACTCAGAAGCATGCAGGTGCAAGGCGCAAGCTTCAAAAAGAGACTCGGAGCTGAAAAAGCAGTTATCATCCGGTTTGCTAAAGCTCTCGGGCCTTTCGGGCAAAACCAGTAGGAAGAGCAATGTGCAGAAGACATTTTTTTATAGTGGTGGATGCATTATCGTCAGAACCACATGGATTCATCCGGTGCGATGTGTGCCAAGGATTTCTCATTAACAGCGGCTGCAAGACTGTGTGTCGGGCACTAATCAAACTTGGTGCCAATCACGGGAATGTTGACGTCGTGCCTATCCTCCTCGATGCAACAACTATTTGAAAACATGTGGCCAAAGTCGCATACAGTCTCTGAGAGGCAATGAGGCCATAAGTGGAACTTGCAGCGAGTGAAAAGCAGGTGTGGCAACCACTGACATGTGAACTGAGGACTTCAGGAAAGTTGCTTGTACCATGCTGACACCTTACTACATCGATGGTTACTGGAACGTTTAGAGTGAGGTCCTGTCCACCTGTGAATTTCCTGCCGAAAAGGAAAGACCGGCAAAAGCATCAGGAAAGAACTATAGACCGAATTCGTAAAGGGTGACCTTGCTGGGGAACTGCTGAAAAACATCACGTTCGTGACAGACCGAGGCGCCAACATTGTTAATGCGCTAGAAGCAGCACAGCTCCCTCGTTGAATGTGGTGCTTCGCCTCATGTTCAAACCTGGGTTTATAATAAATAAAGTGCCAATCCAGAGGGAACTGATTAAAAGGACCAAGGTGGTCGTGACCTTTTTAAAACAAGCGGACCTTCTGAATCACTTGCAAAAGGCAGACAACCAAGACATTCAGACGAGGTGGAATTTCGAAGCTAGTGACGCTGAAATTGGTCCATGACCAGTACGAAAGCTTCAAAGCAGTGCTGGACAAACAAGGTAGTCCCTTGATGGAAGAAATCAGCAAAATTGATATGAGGTTGCTGATTGATTTTTTTCAGCCACTCGGATGCCATCGATGCGATGGAAAGGGAGGCCAAGTCAACACGGCCTTTGTTTGTGTTGCACTTGTACAAGCTGAAGAGGCACTTGAACGCATCAAGTCATGACTGTGAGCTCTCGTGGATCAAGAAGCATGCTGCAGGGTACCTCGAAGCAAAGTTTAGAGCTCATGACATTCACATGATTTCTATGTTTCTTTGAACCCAGTTTCGTCAGCTTTGCATGCTTTCGGAGAGTGATCGGCATGAAGTCCTGCAGGATGTCAGGCAACAACTGCAATCAAATTCTCTAGCGTGAGTCGAGATGCAGAGCTCTCGGAGACCCAAGAGGCGAAGCAAACAAAGACGACGTTAGGTGGCTGTATTGAATGGAAAGAAATGCGGCAATCAACTGCAGGTACTGAAGAAATCTGGTGAGCTTTGGCGATATTTGAAAGCTGTCTTTCCAGATATCAGTGAGAGTGAGCTTGGGCCTTTTTGGAAGTGCCAGCAGAGTGAGTTTCCAGGACTATCTCGACTCGCAAAGCAGCTACCGAACTTTGTATGCCTGCCACGAGTGTTTCCAATGAGAGGAACTTCAGCACTGCTGGCCACCTTAACCATGAACGAATAACCCATCTAAAGCCAGATACAGTAAATAATACTCTATTTTTACTCAAGAACCTATAAAAACTGTCGTGCTACTGTGCAACTACAAACGTTTGCCAAGTCATGGAGATATTTTTTGTCTATTTTTACGAGAGTGTGTGTATATATATATCTTTTTAAAGCCCTGTATTATTTGTAACTGTCCGACTGCCGATCTTACTGAGGGTCTTGGTGCCAACTCTTTAGGTGCATTTTTGTGTTATTTATTTTGCGTTAAGTCTCTCTTTTTTCAACGGCATTTTGCAATGCTTTTTTAAATGTCTTAATATGTGTTTCTTTGCCTCAGTAAACTTCATGCTTTGTTACGCATAAGTAGGCATCCCATATTCATATTCATTCTCACTAAAAATAAAATATAGTGTTCTTATAAGCTAATGTATCCGAGTTCAAAGGGCATGTCAAGGAGCATACGTCAAAGAGCATGCTTAGACTTTTCTGTCAACATTTATTGCCTACTCAGTTACGAGTAGGGTTCCGTTTTATCAGAGTTTATTTCTCGTGAAATTCAAAAAGTGTTTTTTGGAGCTATATTTTAAAACATATTCGGAAGCCTATCGGAGTTTATTTGTGATTGATTTACGATTCTCCGAAATTCTGAAACTAATTTTGTTGTGTGCGCAATTTTTAAAAATTCAATATAAAAGTAAATATTATCCGGACGCAAACCTGTGCTAAATTCATATGAACCCAACTATGTCGAATGATATTTCTTCAGCTGAATTGGGCATCCGTGCCCTTGTCATTGGTAATACTAACTGTCCCACAGCAAAACTTGAAAACAAATGTTGCTTTAATTAACGTCGATACTTACACTTTGTTTCATACTTAGCGTGCAACGCTGTCAAGGCTACTGGTGCGAGCGCGTGGCTTCATCTATGGTTTTGTTTGCGCGAGAATGCGTGCAAATGATCAATGAGATCAAGCCCCATGCTGGCGCCAGTAGCTTTGACAGCGTTGCACACTAAGTATGAAACAGCGTATAGAAATCCCTGAAATCCTTTGCATATTCTCTGGTAAGCTCGTTTTCCCTTCCCATTCCACTGCTCCACCCTGCGGCTGCATGGAGTAGGGTGGTGAGACAGAACCTTTAGCTTCCGCCTCCCTCCTGTGATCGTAGCTTTCCTTGTTGTAAAAACACCACTCCGCCTTTTTTAAAAACTGCAAACTGAAAACTAGAACAGCAGATTTTGTCGTGATCCAAAATTGCCATGACCCATTGTCCTGCACAAAACTCGACGAGATAAACGGTGAACCCCCTTTTGTCGTAGCTCGAGATATTGAAGGAAACTAGAGAGGCCTCTGCTCAGGACCACTGCTTCTGACCAAGCTTATTTGTAAAATACAGTGTTTTTTTGTTTTGTTTTTCTCGTAATTGCGACGTTGAAATTTTTAGCTTTTAGGATAAATTTGAATTGATAGAAATTTTATTGGCGAGTGTTTCTCGGATTTTATTGTATTTATTCTAAAACACTAAATCTTAGTTATGAGCTAAGTATGGGTGGCAATAAAAATATGCTGACTATCGAGTATACTGTACACTGTAATTAACATGTGTAGCGGTGACAGGTGAGCCTGCCATTCTGCGTAAACTCGGCTTGGTACCGGCGAATTAGTGTCGGGCTGGGCCAGCTGTCGGAGATGGACAACGGGCCACAGGCTGGCCAGGTCTAAAGTAACAGTGGGCTGGGCCAGGCCAGTCTCTCACATACCAGCCCATGCAGGCCTGTAGCCTAGGTGCTTCGTCAGCAAGTGATAAGCTCCCCAATAAAGTAAGGAGTGGAAAAAAACTCGTCATGTTGATGACTCTAACCATCGTCACTGATAATTCTGGTAATTACGTGGTAATTCTTGGCCCTTCGAATGCACCATGCTTTGTTTCACTTTACAACAGAACACACTACGAGCTATTGAATCCAATCCAATGTCGTGCGAGTGTTACATGACTTAGGGAAGGGCGGAGCTACGCGAGGGGTGCATAGTTGCGTAATGCAATCACAGCACTGGATAGGCTTGTAGGGCTCGTAGCACCTGCTGCGGTTCATTGCGAGGTAAAACAGAATATAGCACTTTGCAGAAGCATATATCTAGCTGCACCGCGATGCATACGAACAAAGGTAAGCAAACAAGCGAAGTGCTCCCGTGTTCGCTGCACCGTCAGCGCAGTGTGATGGGTTCTTCGGCTGTGGGAGAGCAAGATGGCAAAGTGACAAGAGCAGGTTTCCCGAGAGTTGCTGTTGCCTCCATGTGACAGGGCCACCGGAAACATCTGTACCTCGTGTTGTTGGACAAAGTTGTCCAACTGTTTCCTTAATGTGACAACACAAACGTCTAACAGGCCAATATGCACATTTTTTTGTCACTTTGGACTTGGTCAACATGAATATTAAGAGACTTGTTGATGCCACATCATTTATATTTATTTGAGGCACGATGCCCACTTTGGCACGAGAGTGGACTCCAGTGCATGTGTGTGCTGTTACTCAAAGAAGTTTTGTCTCCCCACCCCCCAGATTAACAGGCCTTTGGCCATGCGGAAGGAGAGCATCCAGACACGCAAACGCAAACCCAAGGGCAAGAGCACTCCTGACAGCAAGGGAGGCCTGGCCCCGGAAAACCTGTGCACCTCTACCAAGGTTGAGAAGGAAGAACCCTTAGGTATGTGTGGGACTGTCTTTACCGGTAATTTTTTACAAATGTTAGAACACATCAGGGGTTCGAGCATTTACTGTGATCCACTTATTTGCCTTGCTTGAAGATGTAACAATGAGAATTATTGTGGTTCCCTCAGTGTTGGACGTCTCCACAATGTTCCATAATCGTGAGGCACTTCACTTCCCGTTCCCTGCCGTGGGGATTGGGAAGTGAAGTGGTCGGCTGCTAGTCAGCATGGCTGGCGGCCGAGAAAGGCAGCTTTGGGCACACGTCACCAAAGGATTGGACATGAGCCCTGCATCAAAGTTTGCGGGGCACTCGGACGTTCAAGCTCGAGATCGGGTCCGATGATTGTGGCCGCAGGCCATCTCAGTGAGAATTCCGCACAAGATAACACTACTTATACAACCAAACTTCTTTCCACTAGCCATTGTTTGAATGGTTCTCTAAAAATAAAGTTTCTCGTATTAAGTGGCCCACTAAAATCAGTGACTGGATGTGACAGGCTGTGGAAAAGGGGGGCTCTTACCACGAGGCGGACTCGGTACTTGCCCAGGATGACAGAATGGCAGCCAATTTCTTACCATGAACGGGTGTGTTGACGAAACCTATGCGTTGAACAGAAATGAAGCGAAAGATTGGAAAAGGCTGCTTATTTAGTGCAGTCCCAAGCTGTAGGGTATGGCCATATTAGGGGTTGCAGCAGATGGAGATCTCTAGAGCCCTGCATATCCGCTGGTTACCCGCGGATCATCCGCACATATCCACAGTCAACTGGTGGAAGCGGATAAAAATTAATGAGATTTGGCGGATTGCGGATCAGTTGCGGATGCTAGGGGCTGCGGATGCGGATCGGATGCAAACATCTGCCGGTCCGGATCTACAATTTTGTCGAGGCGGGCCATAAACATGCGCGACCGCAGGGTGTACAGTGAATAGGTGAGTGATACAGAAACTTGCGCCAGCACAAGTTTCCATACCTCACTTCTGTAGTGCAGTTCGAGCATGCCACCTTAGCATCATATGCTCTAGCGGAAGGAGACTTCTTATTAGCAGGTCTTAATGAGAGGCAAACTAGTTTGAATCCACCCATGCTGACTATACTGTTTCTTTCATACAGCAACCTCAACAAGTAAAACATTGCGTGTGTTTTCCCTTCTTTTTTTACAGCAGAGCTGTTAATGGAGCTAGTTACCCCAGGATCGTGTCCCCCGCAGAGAAATGTTAACACAAAACTCTGGACAGGTACCGCCATTTATGAGCGACGGCGGCAACCAGACAATCGGCTTGCCGGCCTTGCTCATTGATGGCGACAACCTTTCCAGCCTTTCCACTCTGGTTTTCACCAGAGTGGAAAGGCTGGATTTTTCTAGGCGTCATCCTAGATGTCGTTCTCGAGGTCATCCTAGAAGCCGTCCTTGAGGACGTCCCAGAAGTCGTCCTTGAGGTCATCCTAGATGTCTTCGAAATCGTCCTAGTAGTTGTTTTTGAGGTCGTCCTAGACATTGTCCTTGAGGTCGTCCTAGACGCCTTCCTAGATGTCGTCCTTAGGCGTCGTCCTTGAGGTCGTCCTTAGACGTCGTCCTTGAGGTCGTCCTTGAGGTCGTCTGACCATAGTACAGCTTCGCTAGTCTTCCTTCTTCACCAGAGTAGAAAGGCTGAAGGTTTTTTTCTTTTTTTTTTTCTTTTTGACAGTTGGCAGGTTTTTTTCAAGTATGTGGTTCCGAGCATGCAGTTGAGGGCTCGTGTTTGAAACTGATTGGAGGTGCTGCCATTATTGAGTGTTGTGATATTTTCCCAGTGGTGACTTCAGCCTTTCCACGTGTATACAAGTACTTTGCTGCGGTAGTTACCGCCTTTCCTCTCCCACTTTTTTTTTTTATTGTTTGGCCTAAATAAATTGAGGCAATGTTCTTTGTTCACTTTTTATGTTTATAAAGCATGTGTCTGCTTAAAATAAATTTTACAAAGCAAAAAAGAAAAGAAACTTAGCCTTTCCACTTTGGTGAAGAAGGAAGACCAGCGAAGCTGTACTATGGTGGGAATGAAGTAATGGCCGGCCGCAAGTCAGCAAGCCAGAGTGGAAAGGCTCGAAAGGTTACGCCATCTATGAGCGACGGCGGCAAGCGGACAACCAGCAAACACAACATTCTGGACAGCTACCGCCATATGTATGAGCGACGGCGGCAACCAAAGTTTTGTGTCGACATTTCTTTGCGGGGGACACGATCCTGGGGAAACTAGCCGTTAACAGCTCCGCTGTAAAAAATTATTTCCTCTTGAGCGCATCTTTTGGACAGAGCGTCACAGACTCCCAAGACAATCTCATAACTGCGATCATCTTCCCAGCGGTGCGGAGGTCTCTGGAAGGATGATTGATTATAATATAAATACTATAAAACAGAATACGATGAAATGACTTTCACCGTATTCCGACACGACAAGTTCTTTGTACCAAAGCAAACAGACGGCTTATAAAATACCATCTAGGTGTTTTTCTTTTTCCTTTTTGTTTTTTTCAATATTCATGTTTGATTTTATAATGTAAAATGAAATCACGTATTGCAGGTCAAATGCGGTTCCGAATTTCGCAAATGCAGTTCGTATGGGAACGCAGTCTACGGATGCGGATACAATAATTTAAGAACATTGCGTATGCGGTTCGAATGCGGATACAAAGTCTGCGGATGCGGATTGAATGCAGATGATCAAACTTATCTGTGCAAGGCTCTAGAGATCTCCAAGAAATTTCCTAGCTCTCAAAAATTAAAGAAAATTAATAATAGGTATACTATAGGGGTTATATAACAATTTTTGTACTTTCAGTGAACATCTTTTAGGATTATTCCTCGACATTCATAAGCTATGAGACAGGCAAAAGCTGTATTTTTTTCCGACAGACAATGGGCAGTCACAAAAAAAATTTGAATAAAATTAGTGGCGTTCAGTCCTCAACTCGCTGCCAGAACAGGCACTCATATTATCTGAAGCTGATTATATGTTGCCAACGTCTGTCGTAGCCGCATGCTGGGGTCGGCAAAGCACAAGGCACACCTGTGTTCCATACATTCTTAAAGGAGCTGTGCAACAATTTCAGGGCTTTGCTTAAATAATTGTGGAAGTTGATGCCTGACACTTCTGAAGTGAACTACAGAAAACAGATTTTGCCTGGATACCCTAGTTTTTATTTAAAAAAATGAAAAAGATCCAGGTTTTTGCTGCCCCTCAACTCGTACGTCGTCTTCCGGGTCATGTGCGCATTGACGTTGATGGGGTATGCGCGGGGTTCCGGTAAAATTCTCTCTTTAGAGCCATCAGTAAGCAGCGAGAACTCATCCGTTCGCGACCGCGTGACCATGTGTTGGCGGGCGCCACGCCAACAATATGGTGAAAGGAGGAAAGTCTCATCCGGGTCCGGCCATACTTGTCCGGCCCTGTCCCCCTCCCCCTCCGGCTTCTGGCAGCTGTTCGCGGTAGCACAGAGAGCTGACGGTTTTGTGGACCTAGGATAGATGGCGCCACTAAAACTCCGTATAATAAAAGTTTTGTCGATGATACCAGATTTTTGACGCATTTATATATATGTTGGAACGACAAGATTTATAGAAAAGTTACCTTTTATCGAGCAGGTATTCGCACAACTTGCTATCTCTCTACAACATTCCCCATTGACGTCACGCCGCGTGTTTCTCATGTCCGCCGCTTGCGGCTGCAGGTCGGGGAATATTCTAAGTTTTGCCTGCTATTACGCGGCAGAATCGCAACATTTCGATAAAAGGAGGTGTGTTTTCTGTCATTTGTGACAAGGTGAACAATATCAAAAGCAGAGGATGTCAATTCTTTCAACGTTAAAATCTTTGCACAGCTATTTAAAGTTTGGCTATTCCCATCATTGCAGCCATTGTACACAAGCCACTACACGAATGCGTGTCGGGGCTTCGATTGTCACGATTGTGTCCACTGTGTGAGCCGCATTTAGATATTGTTACCTCAGAGATTGCAAAGCTTGATGGTGAAATCCTGGGGATCACATTGTTGACTATGCCAACAATGCAGACCTTACAACTCCCGTCGTCTAGTTTTTGCGACGGAGAGACTGAAACAAACACCCGCTTTTCTCTTTGAAATTGTGTTGCCACAAAGAAGCTTCTTGGTCATTCGCCCTGCGTGCGACCATTGGCGACTTCAGCGAACTCCTCTTTCAACGAGACTCCCTTTTGTGTGTCCCAAACATCGCTATTCTCCCTCTAAAAGATTATAGAAGATTACCCTGTCACTCAGAGTTCACACAAAAGCAGCTTTGTGGTTAATTGTGGTGGCCCGATCGCAGGCGTGCTTCAACCGCTTCGGTGACTGGAACGGCTAGGGCATCCTGAGTATGTTAGTCTTGCCGCAGTTTTGCTCATCTTGAGACAAACTATGTGACGATTGTGCCAGATATGACATACTCTCCACTGGCTGCTCTCCAAGCGCTTTCCAGAGTGGGCCGTTTATAATGAAAAATACAGCCATCAGGCTCAATGCACAAATGTGCGATTGTCATTTATGGATATTGTGGAATCAAATTTAGCATATTTCTGAACACGACGGGGATATTTCATACTTTTGTTGAAGTATCCGTTTAAAGGGGTGGTGCAACAATTTTCAGACTTTGGCCTATTAACTGCAGAAACTAATCTGCGTCACCTATGGAACGAAAAGCAGATAACCATATTTTCTTGCAAGTGCTAGTTCTTATTTTTAAAAAAAATTAAACAAATCGAAGGTCAAAGTGCCTCTCAACTTTTCATGTCATCTTTCGAGTGACATACTCTCAGGGGATCACATGGTTTCCCCTTGGGCCCTCTCTTCAGGGACCCCAGCAGCTTTCTCCACGATTGTCGACTTCTAAAGGATTAGTATCGTCGAAGGTCGCTGCGAGCAATTGACAGAAAGGACGGTCCGCCACGGGGCTGACGGCAAGTGTAGCAGCGGAAGGGGACAGGTTTTGTTGACTTCCACGT